CATGAAGGTGTTACTTCAGTTGTGAGTTTTGAATTATTTATAACCGGTCGAAGACAGACCAAGAATAATTATCATATTTGTACGATTATTTTAGCAGGTCCTCATATGTCAAACACGAGGGCCGTGGACCAAAACTGGGCCGTCATGTCATTTTATGTGGCCCCACGTGTTTATGGTTGTCTTGAAATTCTGTCTCATACTGTATTATAGTGTTAGTAAAATACAAAATTTTGAAACCAATTTTAAACATCACACAAATGTTTTTAGCTTGCTTGCTAACAGCTAAACAAAATAATGTCTCGTCCTCTTAACTCGAGCTTCAGGTCATTGTGTGTGATTGCAGTGAGTGTGTGGTACTAAATACTAAATACTGCGTTTAAAAACACCAATCGAACAAACACAGGGTACGTCAGACTCGTCTGTGACGTGTCGTCCGTGACGTGTCGTCTGTGATGTGTCGTCCGTGACGTGTCGTCTGTCGTCGTACAGGAAGCCGTCCTCGGTGACAGCGTTGCGGAGTTGATTCCATCGTGACCGCAGAGACGTGACCTTTGCTTTCTGTCTGCGGCTCGTGTTACTGTCAGTGTGATTCCACTTAAAGCGACGGCATGTGTCCTCCTGAGCCGTCCACGCCAAAGGCTGCCGTGTTATTTTAGTCTGGTCCTGCGCAGACCACGCTCTAGTCATTGTGCATCATGGTGCGAGCCGTGTTATTTTAGTCTGGTCCTGCGCAGACCGCGCTCTAGTCATTGTGCATCATGGTGTGGATTAAAATAAAAAAAATAAAAATAAAATAAAAAACCAGCCAGGAGCCCAGTGGTGGTACAGAGAACCAGAGCAACTTTAATGGCCGTACACTGTAAGAACACGGGTGTCGTTCACAGCTGCAGTCTGACTGTCAGGTCGTTGACGTTGTCCTACAGCAGCGTTAGTCATAGTTGACCAAAAACACCGTGTGTACGTGTCACCCCGAAGAACTGTCCTTTCACAGAGCTGTCATTTCTGAGGCAGAAATACTTCATGTCAAAGTTTTTATTTTTATTCTCCTTTCTTCATCTTTTTTTTTTTTTTACAGTATCTTGTAAATGCAGCTCACGGTGTACGGCGGTGCTCAGGTGAACAAAGTACAACAATAACTGTTGCATTAATCAGAGAAATCGCACACACATCTACACACACACACACACAAAAACAGCACTTTAAAAGAACACACAGGGGTGTGTGTACGTCTTCAGTCTGATCCTGATATAAATGGAGTGGACCGTCTCAGACTAGTCTTCAGGAATAGTTCTCCCAAAATGGTCCTTGATCACTGTTTAATAATTTACTCACTTTCACTCCAGCACTCGAAGCAGCCGTCTCTCTCTCTCTCTCTCTCTCTCTCTCTCTCTCTCTCTGGGCTTGTAGATTTTTTTTTCTCTGAACTTTAACTACATAATGTGGTGTGCGTTTAAACGAGGGAAACGACTAAAATGTCTGATCCAATTGGTAGCTGGTGCGTTTAAACGAGGGCTGTGAAACGACTAAAATGTCTGATTCGATTGGTAACTAGGTGTGCGTTTAAACGAGGGCTGTGAAACGATTAAAATGTCCGATCCGATTGGTAGCTGTCGATTAACCGTGTCAGACAGTAGCTGGTAGAACATGTCGTAGAACGTGTCGTAGAACATGTCGTAGAACATGTCGTAGAACGTGTCGTAGAACATGTCGTAGAACATGTCGTAGAACATGTCGTAGATTGTGTCGTAGAACATGTCGTAGAACGCGTGCTCAGTGAGGCCGGTGCGACACCTGCTGGACGTCTGACCTGACGCTGAGAATTGAGACGGTATTTTTTTGGCTCGCTTTTCTCGCAGTGTGTGTAAATACTGCAAAAAATGTGTGTGTCAGAGCAACGATGGAAGTGGACGGAGAGTGGAATTATGGGATAGATCATCCGGTCGTACTGACAATGTTAATAAATAAAATTAAAGCTGTTTGACAGCCCAAGTTTAAACACATAAACGTTAACAAATACTCAAATACCATACTGTAATACTGTAGTTTTATAACCGTGGTTTTTGACTGATGAACTGGTTAAAATGATTAAAAAAAAAAAACAACTCTGATACTGGAGCGAGAGAGAGTCAGGATGGACCAGAAACAAACCTGGTAGTGGAGTGTCATCAACAAAATATTCGTTGTATCAACAGAGGCATGCTTGAAAAACTACCCCACACACACACAGACACACACACACACACACACACACACACACACACACACACAGCTAACTACATGTTCATGGTGTCTGAAGCGACCGTTAACACAGTGTTTGTAGAAACAAGATTAAAGCTGTTTTTCACATCAACAAAAATCACAAACCATCGACTGCGTCCAGACATAAAGTGCTTCGTTCTGGGACCTGTGAGTAAAATAAGTCGGATTTTTTTTTTCCCCATCAACTCATTTCCTGTCTGAACCAAACATCCTTCACTCAAACACTTGCTTTTTTCCACTTTCCTCTTTTCCTCTTTGCCCCAGTTTCATTCCCTTATATTTAGTCGTCATTCACACACTTTCATCGCTCTCCTGTTGGTCACTGGGGGTATTTCCTTAAAAGGAACAAATTATGCTACTTTGATGTAAATTAACGAGGTTCATTGACGTCTACCCTGACGTAACGTGTTGCTACAGATAACAACAGGCCTCTAGTGCCTCAAGTGTTTACGTACTGTAACTGCTGTTCATTTAGTACGAGACAAATGTTCACATCACGGCTGATTGTGAAGCAACGACTCAGTCGTTGAAACTAGTGGTTAAAGAACAGACAGACAGTGACTGTGATCTCCATCAGAACACGGACAAAATTAACGATCTGTCCCCGTTACAGATTTGTGTTATTTTTTACGTGATTTTTCTTTCAACGATCTGTCCCCGTTACAGATTTGTGCTTTTTTACGTTATTTTTCTTTCTTTTTTTTTTTACATTTAATGAAATAATCTGTGGTCTAAAAATATACCCTGTGATTTTAAGACATATGAGACATGTTGGTCTCACTGTCAACTCGTGGTGGAAGGGAACATATAAAATATATAAAATATATTCACGTCCATGTAAAGTTGCTTTCTTTTTATGTTGCTCCTCAGGACTCTGCCGTAACCTCACTTCCCTGGTCTCTCCCCCCGGTGCGTCGAAGTCTCTTCCTGACCCAAGTTTTCTCTGAATTTTTTTCATTTTTGTTTTGATTGGCTGAGTGGCATCACATGACCTGGGCAGTTTAAATTAGTCTAATACAGGACTGAAAAGCTGCTCCAGTAGAAAGAATAAAAAAAATTGGTGTGAAACAATAAGGTAATTCCTACATGAGGAGACTCCAGGATAATTCTATTCACTGTATACTGATGATACTCTATTTTATATTATATATATTATATATATATATAATGACTTTTTTTTGGACTGAATCTTCTTCTGGAATCATGGAAAGGCACTTCACCTCAACAACAACAACAACAACTACAACAACAACAACAACTACAGTGGTGCATTTAAAAACACTGCAGGACCAGCAGCAGTCCAATGAGGACGAGGACATTGGGCTGCTGCACTGCTATGGACAGAAGGACGGCCACACTCACGAAGACGAACGAAGGCTTCAGGTTCACATCTACACCCAGCTCTGACTCTGACTGTGGAGAAACCTCTGATACATTTTCTCTAAGAATCTGGGAAACCTTGTCCTCCTCGTCCCGTCTCCTCCAGGCGGAGGCTCCAGACTCCACAGCTGTGTTCAGGACCGTCTGGACCTCGCTGGTCGAGTCGGCCTCTGTGAGTCCAGGTGACTGTTGATCCTCTGCCACAGGAGACAGCGGGACAGCGGGCGGGGTTTCCTCACAGTGTGCAGCAGATCTGGGGGAATCTTCGACTAATCCTGCATCAAGTTCACTCAATCCCAATTCGACCTCTTCCTTTGAATCGTGAGCTTCCGCGGGACCAGAGACGTGCACGACGGCCTCTTCAAGACGAGGATTATTAACGGGGGTTCCGGTCGATGCGTCTTCTTCTGTTGGACACTGATTTGTCTCTGCGGTGGAAGGATGAACACACAAAGGCTCGGACGAGAGGATTTCCTCTCTGCCAGTCTGGGGGCTGTCTGATCTGTCTGGCCTCGGTTCTTGCTGCGGAGCGGGCAGCAGATCAGGGGAACGACTGCTGGAGGGCGGCGTTTGATCGCCCTGTTCGCAATGCACTGTGGGTAAAGGCTGAGACTCTTGTGGCTGCACTGTTTTGCTGGTTAAAAGTACAAAGGACGGGTTGGTCTGAGGTGAGGGATCAGGGGGGGCACGAGGGAATCTTTCACCTGCAGACACAGTGGGAGTGGTCAGGGAGCCATCAACAGATGGGAGCTGGTGGTTGGCTGAGACAGAGGAACCAGAGGGGTTAACTGCAATCTGTTAAAATAAATAAAAGAGAAGGCAGCATTGACAAAAAAGAGCACAGAATAGAACGACTTGTTTTTTCTTACAGAAAAAAGCATCAAAAACAAACGAATGCTTTCCTGTAAAACTGATGCCATGCCGACACTGTGGTTGTGAGGAAATACAAACAAACAGGAGCAAAACTGTGGCACTGATCTCAACATATGGTCTGGAAGTGTTGCCATCCACCTACTGACAGCCATGCTGCCAGGAGAGGTGGGCCACAGAAACTACTACCAAGTCTGGAATTGATCCCACAACCCTCTGTAAGACAGCGTACTACCCACTGAGCCACAGCCACCTCCATAGAGAGACTAATGCAGTCACAAATAGAATTTAAAAAATGTTTTCCGTTCCAAAACACTCTTAAGCAGAAATGTTTAGATTATTAACTCAGTCAGGGCCGATTTCTCAAAACAAGAGCTTCAACTGGGCAGAAGATTTTTTTGTGTTCAATAAACACTTGTTTGTTTGAAGCCAGACTGAGGAGTTTACATTTTCAGAGGGACATGTCGCAGGATCGTAAAATGCTAACACTTGAAGACGCACTAGTGATGCGTTGAGTGTTGCGTTCATGGTCTGCTCTGACCTTATGAAATCTCACTCTACTCTGCATTTGTGATTCCTTCAGTTTCTCTCCTTATTTCATAAATGACCACTGGTTGGACCACTCTGACGTTGTAACTGGGAAAACTGGAAAAATCCATGTCCATGAGCTCATGTTCGTATAATAAATAACTGTTGGACTTTACCGGAGGACGACAGCATGCGGGTGATAAAAAAAACCCCACATGTGGACGAGCTGGAGGAACACATGTCTGACACACTGAGACCCCGACGCCTGATCTTGTCGTTGGGTTGCTGTGGTAACGAGAGGAACTCCTGAACTAAACTCCTTTATTTATTTATTTATTCATTTTTTGTGACCAGATTTGGCTGCTGTTAAGACACAGAGCTGTTGTTCCAGGTCACAGAGTTCTGTCAAGGAGAGAAGAGAAGGGAAATCTGGTCCAGTTTAGAAGCAGTTGTCCTACTTGTACTTTTGTTAGTGTACTTGTACAAAGTTAGACAAAAGGGGTCAGACCGTTAGATGTGCTTTGTTCCCCCAGAACGTTCCTGAAATGATATTACAAGTGCTACGCAACATGTACCAGCTCACGAAAGACCGAGCTGTTTATGAAGGGTCGATAAAAAAAAAAAAAAATTCAATATATATATCACTGCCCAGAACTGTTCTAACCGCCGGTACGTGTTGGACGAAATATTGTTATTTATTTTTGAACGGACAGATTTTGTGACTTTGTGGCAACACTGGCAACAACTCTGCTCCAAGCTGAAGGAAGTTCACACATTTAAACACAAATCGATAGAGGCGTCTGTCTGCGTGTAAAATAAAAATGTCCTCCACCCATTGCAATCAACCTTTTATTACAGCAGTGAAACGGAGCCACTGCTAAATCCAAGACGAAAGGCCTTAACATTTCTGCTTTACTTTAATACTGTGGCAGTGACTGAGATTAGAATCGAAGAATAGGGTGTGTGTGTTTTATTTTTAGAAATGTAAAAATGTACACGTGAAACAATGGAATTCTGCACTAATGTCACAAATGAAATATACAGATATTATGATTAGTGTTAGAAACCCATGATGGATACAACACACGTGATTACAAAGGTGGGACGATCCAGATGAGATACAAGGACATGGTGGTCATGCACTATGATGAGAATACAGGAAGAGATTAAAGATTAAAAAAAAGAACATCCAGTTGTCGTGCTGCAGCGGTGAAAAGCACATTACCTAAGTTGTTGCTGAAGCTTCAATGAGCTGTGAACAACATAAACAACCAAGCCAATGGTGGTGAGCCGCACAGGTTGAATTGAAATGTCAGTTACGTTTTTTTTATTGACTCACACAGGGATAAAGCACTCTGTCTGCTTACCTGTTAAATGGGAAAGTGTCAACGACTGCATGCAAATTAAGATTATCTGAACACAATCTAGGAAAAAAGTAACTTTGGGAAGGTGTATGCTGTCCTTATTTATTATTATTATTATTATTATTTGTTCTGTTTTTGTGATATTGGTCTTACCTCAACGTCAATCTCAGGTCTGACTAAGGCGGGGCACATGGGCGTGGGTCTGATCAGTTTGATCGGTGCTTCTGTGCATGCGAGACAAACACATTGTAAAACAGCTTTTAACAGATGTATTATAATTCACTTTACGATTTTAAATTTCACTTTTAACAGATGTATTATAATTCACTTTTTAAATTTCATATCTGAATTTTTTGTTTTTAAATTTGCACAATTCAATAATATATATAACCATAAAGAATCTTGTTTGGATTTTCCTTATATCCTGATAGTTATTCAGCATAATGTTGTACCTTCATGCATTTCCAGCTCGTCTTCTGAATCTGGGTCGTCCTTCATGCTAAAAGAAAAGAGACAGAATGAAAACAGTGAGGACATTTATCAACAGCACAATATCTACCCAAAAGATTATATTGAATACATATGTTTTATATTATATATTTATATACTAGATTTAGAAAATATGACATGATATTTTTTGTTAAATTAAATTAAATCTAATGCAAATAAATGTTTGGAATTAGTGGTTGTTAAATATAATGGATAATTAGTGGCATGAAGGGGTTTTCTGTAAGTTGACACCTGTATTGAAAGAATGAAGCAGCATGGCCAAATAAATATAAGGTCAAGACATGTGACAAGCATGTGACAGCAGCTGCTACACAAATAGAGCCAGTGAAGGCTGCTTGTGCTCCCTGCGTTCAATTCATATCTAGTTGTAAGACATATTGTGGATTGGAGACCAAATCATTCTATATTGGGAGAAAAAATACTTTATTTCTGCTTGTTATACTGCAAACCGGTTCTGTGTAAACAAGACCATTTCAATACAGTATACTGATAATGGTAAGGAGTATGGATTTGATTTGCAACATAATTTCTGTGATTGTGTGACAAGTTGATATTTTAACTATCAACTAACATCACTAATATACGTATATCTACCAAAAAAACTGAATGTTTTTGGCAAAATAACTGGAATTTAATAACTGTAAAGTCCTTAAAACAAATCAAAACAAAATCACTGTCACAGCGGTTTGTTTTACATTTGATATCATTACAAGGGAAAACTAATCAGTAGAAGGTTAAACCCGTCATTAAAGTAGTGCTGTTGATGATCCCAGATCGATTGCTTTTGTCTTACACATCTCGGTGATTTTAACAGTATCATTCCAGTTGAGTCCTGGTTGAGGAAATACACATACGTATATCATCCTGACACTTTTTCTCCCGTTTCAAGGTATGTGGAGTTTACGTTATAATGTATGTTGTTCTAATATGTTTATGACGTGACAACCGCTGTGTTAAAACCATGTTTATGACGTGACAACCGCTGTGTTTAAACCGTTTTAAAAAATAGCACAGGAGTGTTTCTTAATATGTTCGTTTTAAAAGTATATAAGCTTGGTTTTCGCGCCACTTGCAGCTCGTTAAGTGAATCAGCCAATCATCAGTTTGATATTCTGAGTTTGTATTCTTGGCTATATGGAACCGAAACAAGTTGTCCGTTTGTTTTACTGCATTTATCAAACTAAGCATTGAATAAATAAAAGGGTTATTTTGCTACTATGTGGCTTTTTACGTTAAAATAGAGGAATTATGCAGTATTTACCAGTCACCCACCTATGTTCTCCCAATGTATTACCATGTTTACCAATTACGTAAAAGAAAACCATGGCTCAAACTGTGTGCTTTTTTAAAAGAACATTCTGTAGGCAAAATGATAGTGTTGTACTGTGTTCACCAGATAATAACCGTTCCTCCCACAGGCTGCCTTGTGAATGAATGTGTTAGAATCCAATTATCAGTTCATTTCACTGCACCTGATGAATCTGTGACAGTTGATATAATGTTGGTGTGTGTGGGAAGGGGAGGCTGGAGGGCATACAGTTTCTGCTCCCAAAATTCTCCCTTTACAGTTAGTGACTCACCCAACCCTAACAAGCCATCTGCTTCCTTCATACTCTGAAATAGCTACACCAATGTAGAGCTACATGACAGCTACATTAAGGTACACTGGGCTTTTTTCCTGGTCTTCTATTGGTCCATGAAGGCATTGAAAGTGGTCTCTGTCCTTGTGACTGTGACAGTTCTCAGGTCAGGTTTTGAAGTGGGCAGCAGAACTGGCATATAGGTTTCTTGAAGAACTTTCATCTCTTAACCAAGACGTTCCACACTGGAACATCTACTGTCACAGAGATGGATGTTTTCACGTGTCGAATTAGGAGCCAGGGAATGACGTGGGACTGTTGCTATTTATACAACAAAAGACTGTGTGCCACTCACCATATCCAGAAATTGCACTAGAGGTGAGGAAAAAAATAATCTCACTACCTGTCTTCTATCGGTAGTCTCTAGGCTGTTCCTTAGGGAGAATATGGATCCCAAATGTTTGATGTGGACTGTGCGGAAAACCCGCAAGCACACAAGGAGAACATGGAAATATATATCTATACAGAAAGAACATCAGTTACCACAGGGGCTCAGGCTGAGGACCTTCATGCTGTAAGGCAAGAGCTCTAACCACTCTTCAGACAAGTAGTGGGCGATTTTTACAAGATATAAAAGAGATGATGTCTTGCACTGAAGCGGGGGCTGAGCAGAAAGTGTCTTGCCGTACCACTGGATAAATCTATTATTAACATTATAATCCAGTCCAGCAACCCCCAAAATATGACCCTGACCCACTTTTCTGCTTCAACCTACCATCTGAGAAACACTGCATCAGTGGGATATTTGACTACAAATATTGAGAGGTATGATTTATAGGCCTTTAACTATAGAAACCACACAAGTGAGAGAGGCCAGTCACTTCCATTTTTTCACTCCTCAATGGAAAAGGTCAAAGGTAATCTTTGAGGCTAGTATATGCCAAGGCTGAAAATGACATGTGCTGTTACCCATTAGACCAGGCATATACAAACTTTATGACGTCTCGGCTCTGTAAGTTGTATACTGCTTTTATCATTGTGTACAACCTGTGCAGTTGTGTATATCAACACACTTGGTTTGATTTAGACTCCAGGTTTTCATATGCCAAAAGCAGTCTCCAGGCTTGACGTCTGAATAAAGCTGAAAGCTTACGGCAGAGACAAAACCTCCAGGGTCTTAGTAGGCAACTGGGGCTCTGCAGCTGCTGCACAACCGTGTGTGCTTTTCATTGCTTTGCCACTTTGTTTACATGTACCTATTTATACTGTGATTTGTTCTGTATTTGTCTTGCTTGCTATTTGGTAGAATTGTATTTTAATCACCTGAATGTCCTAATATTGTGTGTAATGTAAGCCCCTTTACTCACCTCATTATCAAAATATAGCAATGTTCTGAAGATTTATTTTTGTTGAAATATATATTTATATTGCATGACCATAACAAAGATGATCCTCAACTGTCAGTAATGGAAAATGAAGACAGAAAGGGAGGGGGAGAAAGCTGTGGTCAAATTGAAGCACATTGGTTTTGGAACCAAGTACAGGAAGTGTAGTCAGGGCATTTGATTTGTAAGAGATTTCTCAATACTAGCATAACACTGATAGCAATTAGCTGTCAAAATGAAAATGCAAATGTGAGTTTGTTAAAATAAATCAGATCAAAATATTTAATTCAAAATATTTAACACGCAATATTTAACACCCACCTCACGCTTGTCATACCATGCCCAGTATGTGTCAGTGTGGCAGGACAGTCGTAAGTCTACGTCCGATAAGTGACATATTAGTACATTTTCATTATTTGGATTAAATAAATAAAACACATACATCTATGTGTTGTTATTTGTCTTCCTGTTCCAGAACTATGTCGACATCTTTTTGTCACATCTAGGAAAGTTGATTTATCTCGATTAGTCTTGATTAATCACATATAATTAGTTACAATTCTGTGTGTAGGAACCATGCAGGGTCTGTCTTCATTGGCATGCTGGCTGTAACTTCTCAGATTCTCTGTTGTGTGTTCGTTAAATGAGGGTACATGAGGTCTTTACCTGTAAAATTTGGGAGGTTTGAGGATACTTCTTATCTCCTGCGGGTCAAACTTTGTTTGAGCCGGGTCGTCATCATCATAGGAGACCAGCAGAGTAACCACATAATTCTTGGAGGAGTTATTGGCCCAGAAATCACCATCAGATGTTTCATAGCGGACGACAAACTCGATGCGTGAACCGTGTGTGACGTAAGGAGGAGAAAAGGAGAGTTTGAATGAGAACTGGTCAGTGTCTCCATCATTGGATCCATGGACATACTCTGCAGGGTGATCAAAGTAAGTCACCCAGTTGTCCATGGTGGATCTGATGTAAACTGCTTTGTGGAAGGAGATGTTCAGCACTCGTATTAACCCACTCACGGCAAGTGGCTCATTCTCCACTTGAAACAGCCGCTCAACCGCCACTTTATCTGTGCGCACAGTCTGCAGCAGGACGACGCCGGTAGCTGCGCAGAACTCTGGCTGCACCGTATAGATTGGCTCTAGCTCTGGTTTCCGGTATTTTGCCTCCTCTTCTTCCCACCTTGCCTCTTCCTCCTCATCCTCGCTGCCAAAGGCCACAAACTCCTTTACGTCCACCAGATCACCGCCCGTGGTGTCGGCAAATGACACTTTCTTTCCGGCGGACAGCGCCTGCTGGAAGCGCATGTACTCCGCAGTCTCATCGAAGATGGACGAGCCTCGCTTTCTGGGAACCGGCGAGCATCTTGGGATGAGGTGGACGTTTGTGTCATCATCCTCATCCTCATCATCATCCTCTTCTTCTTCGTCGTCACATTCGGTGCTCCGGCGCTGCGTCTCTTCGGCTGACTTGCAGGGTTTAATGACAAAAAGGCCCTCCTGACTTGGTATGGTTAAAAAAGACATGTTTGTAGCAGCGTGCACTCAGAGGATCTGTGCGCTGGACAGGTCACAGACAGCGTCTCCATAAAAAAAAAACAACAACCCACTATCCCGTGGATCCAGCGCTGTCCCTGCGTTACTCACTCAGACTCATCTTATCTCGGCCGCCGTGTAGCGTGTCATGAAATGTCAGGCTTTGAAATTCGGGCTGCTGTGGCGGAAGACGCTGCCTCTAATTTTAGCCCTGACCTACCGGGAGCTTCAGCTATGATTGTAGCCCTGGTCCAAGTCGAAAACGTTTATGTTATGCCCCAAATTTGTCTTTTGAGCCTGGTATAATCGGCCCCGTCCTCATCCAAGCCCCCTCTATCACCACACACACACTTGTACACACACACACACACACACACCACGTTCCGTGTATCTGGGTAAACGTCAGCGACTTAAGTTTTTGAAATAAGTTGTTGAAGACAATGGGCCAATTGCCAAATTTCGCCCTTACGAAATGTAGTACATTAGATATATCTATCTACTGCCTCACTGCTAAATGATCATAACTACATCCTTGTCATGATATACCTTTATATTTATGTATTAGTATGAGAAAGTAAGAGTAAAAGGACTAGTAGTTGTTGTTATAGCTGTAGTATTTCTAACAACTATATTTACTTACTAGTATTTACACTATCACACGACCAAAACGTTATTAATGTTAAATTGGAAGACGTTTCGATTATTGAAATGATGTTTAGATAAATGTATTGTTTGTACACGTGAATTTAGGAATGAAACATTTAAGGCCACACGGTGGCACTGATGAGAAGCTTTCCTCCCTTGTGGGTTTTTTTCCCACAATACCTCCAGTGGCCTATCACTGAGGAGGTCTTGTTACAGCCCACAATTGTGTGCTTAACCTTGTAATAGAGTTACGTTTAATTTTAAACAAACAACGCTTCCATAAGTATGATAGTATTAAGAAGATTCAGGTGATTAGGGCGGGATTTCTAAAAAAAAAAGACGGAAGTTTTATCGCCCCCCAGGTAAAGTTTTGCTTAAATTATTGTTTTTACAAATTGTAGCAATGTTTTTTAGAAAATAGTTCGTTTGACAACGGTAATCTAAGTTATGTAATATAACACAAGTTTTATCATCGAAAAAGGACAACTTATCTAAAATAGTATTTCGCCTTTTTATTCACATATTATTATTATAGTCCTGCGCAGTTTTACCCATAGGCAGTTGTAAACCCCGGAAACACACCCCTCGCAGCGCATTGGTCGGTAGGTTTGAGCGCGACGCGCCATATCCAATCAAAGGATTGTTTTCCTGTCAACGTCGTTGAACGGATTGTAAGCTAACGGATAATATAAACATTAAACTCAATAAACAACGCAGACTATCACAAAAGACGAGACGGTGAGATTTCATCATCACATCAAAATCTTTCCAGCTTTACTAAAATCCAGCAGGAAGTGATGCGCTTCTCGTCCTGTGGACTCATACTGGGTAAAGTTAGCTAACTTGGGTTAGCTGCAGAGTGCTAATCCCTTCCTTACACAAGGCCGCGGTGGAATCGGTGAGCTGCTTTCCGTTCTAGCTTCGATCAGAATGCAGATAAGTCTTATGCAATTGGAAACAAATGCAAACTGCCAAGAGATAACGAAATACTCATTTGCTTCCGTTGTTTAACGTATAAGTCGTATTTTAGTTGATCTTGCGGGCTATCAAGCTTGTTAGCTTTCTGGCTATTCACAGCTAGTATGAGCGAAGTGACGGACTGCACGCAGTCCGCAGACTCTGCTTCTAGAAAACGATGTCCACCATCACTAGAAAAGGAAGAGGACAACACTGTTCCCATCAAGTCTACGAAAGTTAGTGACGAGTCCAGTGATGCGGGGGTCACGTCAGAAAGCTGCAAAAGTGGTGAAACTACAGGAAGCAAGAAAGACTCCAAAGACGGGAAGACAGGAGAAAAAGAAAAAGCAGCTGTTCACACTGATCATAGTTCTGACAGTGCAGGAAACACCGGTTCACGGCACGTAAACAAGTTCAGTGTTGGAGGCCATAATAAGACCAACACCAAAGAGCCACGTTCCTCTCACTCACATGTTCCTTCTGAGGCAACGGAAGCTTCAGAGAAGACAAGAAAAGCAGAGGAGGTTCTCAATCCAGTTCTTCAGTCTGACTCTGCTGCCATAGCAGCTGCTGAAGCCCTGGCCAGTCTCACAGGAGGAGATGGAGAAGCCAGTCAAGAGACCCCATGTTCATCAGAGAAGGCTAAAGTTAAACAGGGCAGCAAATTTAGACACCGTGGATCCCTGCAACACTCATCCAAAGTAGGAACCGTAACGCAGGCGGCCGCCGCTGACAGCTCCACATCTTTGCACAGCACGGAGAGAGAAGAACCAGAAGACGTGGCCGATGCTGATGAAGGAGATGAATCTATGTCCGCGACGTCATCCACACCAAGCTCCTCTTTCCCGTCAGACAACGAGGAAAACGATGACGGCGAGTGTGCCATTGTGTCCGTTAAGATGGCTCCAGAAATGAGGCAGTCGGTGGCCCTTCTGGCACAGGTCCAGATGAGACTGGAGTCCCTGGAGAAGAGAAGTGCCAGGCTCCACCAACGACTGGATCTGAAAATAAACCGTCAACGACGACCACATCTGGATCAGCGCAGCTCCATAACAAAGACTATCCCGGGCTTCTGGGTGACAGCTGTATCCTTAAAAGTCCAACTGTCTTTCCATCTGCACAAATGTATGGTTTGTTTTGTTGTTGTTTTTTTCGTTATCATGTTTTCTTAACTTTCACGCCTCAGCTGTTGAACCATCCACATCTCTCAGCTCACATCGATGAGACGGATGAAGACGCCCTCAGTTACATGACTGATCTTGAGGTAGGAAGTGCAGCATTTCTTTTCCCATAATAATAGTAATATATATATATATGTATATATAAACTCAACCATTTCTTCTGTTTTCAGGTTGAGTCTTTCAAGAACAACAAAGTGGGCTTCAGAATCCGCTTCCATTTCAGGCGTAATCCATATTTCCAGAATAACATCATCATGAAGGAACTGCACCTAGGGATGGGTAAATTCCTGTTTATGCTTCTAACATGTGTATGCCAAAGGGTAAAGACAGTTTTAACTCCATGTACTCAAAGTGTATTCAAAGGAAAAACCAGCTGATTAGAGTCAGATTTAGAAGTGGTTGGAGTCACACTGTGGCTCCACCGTCCATTATAAATAAGATTTAATAAATGTTTTCCTTAAGGTTTTTTTATATATATGTTAAATCTATTTCTATTGTCACTTTAAACAGACATTTTTATGGAGTTTGATGTAATTCTTATGGTTGTCTGTGTTGGCCAGCATGTAGCTCCCATTGCCTGGCCGCTAGGGGGTGCCGGTACAACATTATAGTTTTACATAATTCTAGTCCTGGGGATTTATTTTATATTTTATATATTATATCAGTTTGTTATATTTTCTGCTTATTTTGGTTATTTGTATTCACTGTTTATGAGAGTTCACCTGTGTCGGCACAGAGTGAAGGAGGAAAAGAGTCCAGAACAGGAAACAGTTTAAATAATTAAATGGTAAAATGATTCATATTTTTTTTCCCTATTTTGTAAAGAATGTGTTTGTTGTTTTATTAGTATTTCATGATTTCACGGCTCATCCACTGAGTCACCATCTAACCATGGCCTCTCATTTGTCCAGGGGCGCCCATGTCTTTCTCCAACCCCATCCTGTGGCATCGTGGGCAGAACCTGACGGCCAACAGTGAACCCAGAAAGTCCTCCCGCAGGGTGTACCAGACTTTTTTCAACTGGTTCAGTGACCACAGCAGCCCGGGGCAAGATGACGTAGCACAGGTACGGACGCCCACACCCTTCATTCTACACTGGCTTAAAGGTCGTGACCCTGAAGACATGTTGTTGCCAATCACAATAGTTACTGTGGTCACCTGTTCCCAGCGTCCATACTTACCTGTCTGATTTTTTTTTTTTTTTTTAGATCCTTAAAGACGACCTGTACAGAGACCCCCTCAGATACTACCTCACTCCTCTGTGGGAGCCGCAGGAGAACGGCAGGTACGGCAGCTGTGAATTATTCTGCCCCTAGGGTTGGGGGGGGGGTGTGTTAAATTACTGTTCATGTTTTTATAGGCATCCTAATATTTTACTCCTTCCTGATTAAACCAGATGGGATGCATGTCTGAACACTGAGTCTGTGTTCACTGTATTTACTGTTAAACCTTTTTTTTTTTTAATTTAGTGGCAGTGAAGAAAAAGCAGCTGGTAACGGAAATGGAGATGAATGTGTGGTGATATCTGACTCAGACGATGAGGAGGGTGAAGAGGGTGAGGATAAACCACAGAGCCAGAGCAGGGACCAGGAAGAAGAAGAAGAAGAAGAGGAGGAGGAGGAGGAGGAGGAAGAAGAAGAAGAAGAGGAGAAGGGGGACAGAGGACCCAGTGGAGGTCAGTGAAGTAGGAGAGACTGAGGCAGGGGGGAGGGGGGGTGTCATTTAAAGAATGTGTGATTTTCTGACTAACAGGAAATATCTCCTCTTCAGATGAGAGCCCAGAGGAAGAGGATGAAGGGGGAGAAATAGTCATAGACGGTAAGACAGCACTCTGACCTGCAGTACTGTGTTCATCCTCAAGGTCAATAAAATGGTATTTAATTTCAGACAGCTTTAGGAACATCTAAGGTCATGTTACAGTGTACAAAAAAGACCTGACCATTAATTAACTAAATCATTTTTTATCACAAACGTCTGTCGATGCCAGTGAAGCCACAGGTCCATTGAAGACAAACCAAACTGTGACAATTCTGCATTTTTTGGTTTCTGAATGACACTGAGAACATAACAGGGAAGTGGTGGCTTAGTGGTTAAGGAAGTGCTGTGGGTCTGGAAGGTTTCAGGTTCGAGTCCTCCAGCGGTTAAGTTACCACTGAGGTGCTCTGAGGAGCCCCCTCCCCACCCCCC